GGGCCAGGCCTCAACCTAGAAAGATGGCCATAGGACTTGCAACTTAGGGTAGTGTCTGAAGAACAGAGGGTGGCTTGACTCTGGAGCCTTTTTCTAGTCTTTTCTGAATAGATCATGGGCCTGAGGCCTCCACTTCCTGAGGTCTGAAGCTCAGCAGCTGCTAGAAGGTTGCCTCCTGGTGTTTGCTCTCCCAGTAAAGTGGTTTTGAGTAATAACTTCTAGATTCTTCCTGGATGGCCAGGGAGGCTCTCTGTCTCAGCAGGTGATGGTGAGGGGACCAGGGGTGCCTCTGAGCCCTATTCTCATTTCCCTATTGAACCTTCTGCCTGTAGGGCAGAGAGATCTGGTTTCTAGAAAATTCCCAGTAGGATGTCATATAAGTTCCTTCATCTCCTTTTAGAGATTGGAGACTGTAAGAGTCCAGATGCTGGAGCCAGGCTGTCTGGGTTCAAATGCCATCTTTGACACTTGCAAGCTGGATGACATTACTCAAATTACTCAATCTTTCTGCACTTCAGCTTCCTCGTCTGTAAAATAAAAAGAATAGTGCCTGCCCAATAGAGTTGTGAGGTTTCAGTGAGTTATGTGAGTGCTCAGGGCAGGCCTGGCACATGGTAAACTATACTTGGTAAGTTTGTGGTAATTGTTATTACCTATTTGCCTTTTTAAATTCTTTATTTTATTTATTGTTATTATGTATTTATTTATTTACTTTTGAGACAGTCCCACTCTTGTAGGACAGGCTGGAGTGCAGCAGCACAATCTTGGCTCACTGCAGCCTCTGCCTCCCAGGTTCAAGTGATTCTCATGCCTCAGCCTCCTGAGTAGCTGGGATTACTGGCGCTTGCCATCACACTCAGCTAATTTTTGTATTTTTATTAGAGATGGGGTTTCACCATGTTGGGCAGGATGGTCTTCAACTCCTGACCTCAGGTGATTTGCAACCTTGGCCTCCCAAAGTGCTAGGATTACAGGCGTGAGCCACTGAGCCTGGCTGGTTTACCTTTTTATTTTATATATATATTTTGAGACTGAGTCTCACTGTCACCCAGGCTGGAGTGCAGTGGCATAATCTTGGCTCACTGCAGCCTCGACCTCCCAAGTTCCAGTGATTTTCCTGCCTCAGCCTCCCAAGTAGCTGGCGCTACAGGTATGTGCCACGATACCCAACTAATTTTTGTAAGTTTAGTAGAGAGTGTTTCACTCTGTTGGCCAGGCTGGTCTCGAACTCCTGACCTTGTGATCTGCCTGCCTTGGCCTCCCAAAGTGCCTGGGTTACAGGCATGAGCCACCACACTGGGCTTTGTTTGCCTTTTATTCTCAACTATCAGGGGCCTAGAGCAGGAAATCATCAGGGTCAGGTCTCTGATTTGGGGCGAAATAGGGCTTCCTCCTATTTTACCTCCTATAGGGTAAAAGTAAAGCCTACCCACCCTGCCGCACCAAGGCCAATTTATTGTTTTTCCTCTCCACCTAAAGATAGTGTTGAGGGCTGGGCATGGTGGATCACCTGATGTCAGAAGTTCAAGACTGGCCGGGCGCGGTGGCTCATGCCTATAATCCCAGCACTTTGGGAGGCCGAGGCGGGTGGATCACAAGGTCAAGCGATCGAGACCATCCTGGTCAATGAGGTGAAACCCCGTCTCTACTAAAAATACAAAAATTAGCTGGGCATGGTGGTGTGTGCCTGTAGTCCCAGCTACTCGGGAGGTTGAGGCAGGAGAATTGCTTGAACCCAGAAGGCGGAGGTTGCAGTGAGCGGAGATCGTGCCATTGCACTCCAGTCTGGGTAACAACAGCGAAACTCCGTCTCAAAAAAAAAAAAAAAAGAAGAAGTAGTTCAAGACCAACCCAGCCAACATGGTTAAACACTGTCTCTACTAAAAATACAAACATTAGCCGGGCATGGTGGCACAGGCCTATAATCGCAGCTACTAGGGATGCTGAGGCAGGAAGATCACTTGAACCCAGGAGGTGGAGGTTGCAATGAGTTGAGATAATGCCCTGCACTCCAGCCTGGGCAATATCACGAGACCCTGTCTCAAAAAAAAAATGATAGTGTTTCAGGGCATGGTGTCTCACACCCGTAATCCTAGTACTTTGGGAGGCCGAGGTGGGCGGATCACGTGAGGTCAGGAGTTCAAGACCAGCCTGGCCAATGTGGCAAAACCCCATTTCTACTAAAAAATACAAAAAATAGCTGGGCATGGTAGCAGGGACCTGTAATCCCAACTACTTGGGAGGCTGAGGCAGGGAGAATTGTTTGAACCCGGGAGGCAGAGATTGCAGTGAGCTGAGATTGCGCCACTGCACTCCAGCCTGGGCAACAGAGTGAGACTCTGCCTCAAAAAAAAAAAAGATAGTGTGAGTGTGTAAGCTTTGCCTGTTGTGTGACTTTCAGCACATCACTTCTTCCTCAGATACCTCTGGCTGCCTCCATCACAGGATAGGCTAATACTGGGGAAAGGACCTTTAAACTATAGTTGAGCCTTGAACAACACGGGTTTGAGCTGCGTGAGTCTACATTTGGTTGGTTGCATTTTTTTCAACCAAACATGGATCTATAATACAATATTTGTGGGATGCAAAACCCATGTATGTGGAGGACTGGCTTTTCCTATATGTGGGTTCTGCAGGGCTGACTGGGGGTTTAGTACATGTGGATTTGTGTATATGGTGGGGGTGGGGTATGTCCTGGAAACAGTCCCCTGAGTATACCAGGGGACATCTATATTCTCCAAATCTACAATGGTTGCTGACTTGCTGCTTCTCTGAGCCGATCTCCACGTTAGCAAACTGAGGCATTCTCCTTTCGTGGCCTTGCTCTCTTACATTTCTTAGCTAGTGACTCCCATTCTTATTTCCCAGGTAAAACAAGGTATCAGATTATGTGCCCAAACCCGCCTTTCCTCTGGCTCTCCAGTGATAATGGGATCAGCATCCTTATGAAGCCCTGGTTTCCTTCCTCTCCTTGACTGGGTGTCTGCTTTCCCTCCTGTATGATCAGCTTCTCTTCATTAGCCCTTCCTACCCATGCAGAAAGGATATGTGAGTTCCTTCCCTGTTGACAAAAGCGAAACCATAAAACCTCCAGCAGCCTCTTCAAAGGGTTGTCTATACTCCCCGACTCTCCTTCCCCACTGTCCCATTTACAACCTTGCCTCCTGGCTAGCTTTCATGATTCCCCTCCACTAAAATGACTCTCACCACTCATCCCCACCCTCATTACAAATGCAGCGGCCCCAGAGCAGCAGCTGACCCTCCCCTCTCCCTGAAACACCTTCCTCTAGATTTCCCAGATAAGATGCTTACCTGGTTTTCTTTCTACCTCTGGCTATTTTTCCTTATTTTTAGTGGAGATTGGGGGTCTCACCATGTTGCCCAAGTTGGTCTTGAACTTCTGGCCTCAAGCGATCTTCCTGCCTCAGCCTCCCAAAGTGCCAAGATCACCACGTGAGCTACCATGCCTGGCCTTTTTTTTGTTTGTTTGTTTTGAGACGGAATCTCACTATCCCCGAGGCTGGAGTGCCCTGGGGCAATCTCTGCTCACTGCAACCTCCGACTCCTGGTTCAGCCTCCTGAGTAGCTGGCGGGTGCTAGCACACCCAGCTAATTTTTTTGTATTTTTAGTAGAGAGTAGGGGTTTCGCCATATTGACCAGGCTGGTCTGGAGCTCCTGACCTCAGGCAGTCTACCCACCTGGGTCTCCCAAAGTGCTAGGATTACAGGTATGAGCCACCATGCCCGTCACCAGCCACTTTCGAGACTCTTCTTGTGTGCTTTCTTCTGGACATGGTGTCCATGACCTGGTATCTCTGTTATTGCCAATCACCTTTCTCATGCTGATCTAACATTCAGCATGTCCAGACGGGTGTAACAATTGCCCCCACTTCAGCTCCTGTCATGCTCTTCACCCTGTACCACCATCTTAATGACACTGTCCTGCAGTCACTCAAGCTAAGAAATGAAGTCAGTCCCATCTCCTTTCCCTCAACCCCAGGTCCATTGCTGTGAGTTCCAGCTCCATAAGGCTGTCAGATCCATCTTTCCCCTCTAAGCCCTCAAGGCTTTGCTACCTTGGGTCCTTTAACCTCACTTCCAAAACCCTCTTGCTTTTTGTCCCCCACCCCCATTCTACCCCAGGGAACATCTGCAAGCTCTAAGGACCCTGGAATGCAGCTTTAGGGGCTCTCTCCACATTTCCCCAGCCAGAACTCTACCTTCAAGCCCAATCTTAAAACGTATTCTACCCCAGGGAACATCTGCAAGCTCTAAGGACCCTGGAATGCAGCTTTAGGGGCTCTCTCCACATTTCCCCAGCCAGAACTCTACCTTCAAGCCCAATCTTAAAACGTAACCTCTGAGAAGAGCCTCCACACTTCCCAACCCCAACTTTCTTACCTTCAAGACCCAACCTAAACATCCCTTCTGAGAAGAGCCTATCTTCCCCCATCATAGCACCAGTTGACACTGGACTGCAGGCCCCTGTTTACTTGTCTCTTGGCCCTGTCATTCATTTGCTGTGGCAAAAATGGACAGAAAAGATTTACCTAGCCAGGCATGGTGGCTCATACCTAATCCCAGCATGAGCTACCATGCCTGGCTAGGTAAATCTAGAGGGAGGTGAAAGGATTGCTTGAGGGTAGGAGTCCAGCCTGCCCACCATAGCAAGACCCTGTCTCTACAAAATAAATAAGTTTATTATTTTTATGACAGTCACTTTTGTCACCCAGGCTGGAGTGCAATGGTGTGATCTCAGCTCACTGCAACCTCTGCCTCCTAGGTTCAAACAATTCTGCCTCAGCCTGTCAAGTAGCTGGGATAACAGGCGCTGGCCACCATGGCTGGCTAATTTTTGTATTTTTAGTTGGGATGGGGTTTCACCATGTTGGCCAGGCTGGTCTCGAGCTCCTGACCTCAGATGATCCCGCCTCCCAGAGTGCTGGAATTATAGGCGTGAGCCACCGTGTCTGGTCCAAAATAAATACATTTAAAACAATGCATGGGTTTGGATTTATGCTAGGTCTGTCCCCCTGGGCCTTTCATAGTACCCTATGCCAGATCAAACTGTAGCCCCGAACCATTGCCTGGCCTCTGCCCATAGTCTGCTGGCACTGAAGTGGGCTGCACAGGTAGAAAACAAGAAAAAATAAATGTTAAAAAGATTCATCTATGGGATTTATTTTTTAGACACCCTTGCTCTGTCACCCAGGCTGGAGTCCAGTGCCACAATAATAGCTCACTGCAGCCTTGTCATTAGCTGTGACTACAGGTGTGCGTCACCATGCCCAGCTTTTTTCTTTTTTTAAATAGTTGGGGGTCTCACTTTGTTCCCCAGGCTCATCTCAAACTTCTGATTTCTAGGGATCCTCCTGTCTTAAACTGCTGGGGATCACAGCCATGAGCTGCTAGGTCCATTCGATTTGAGATATTTTTTTTTTTTGGTTTGGGTTGGGTGTTTTGTTTTAAGGCAGTCTCAGTCTCCCTGTTGCCCAGGCTGGGGTGCAGTGACACTATCTCAGTTCACTGTAACCTCTGCCTCCCGAATTTAAGTGATACTCATGCCTCAGCCCCCATTACAAGTGCCGGCCCACCAATTAGTTTTTGTATAATTAGTAGAGACAGGGTTTCACCATGTTGGCCAGGCTGGTATTGAACTCCTGACCTCAAGTGATCTGCTAGTCTCGCCCCCCTAAAGTGCTGGGGTTACAGGCATGAGTACTGCGCCCTGCCTAAGATGTTTTGAGGATGAAAATAAGCTATTAAGTTTACATAATAAAGCTGTTAAAAACCTCTAACCTAGCGTTAACAGTTTTCTCTCCTTCACTAGACAGAGATATGAGCGTCTTGCCTTGCTCAGTGGAGCGCTGCCAAATGCAGTGCGTGTCTGATCTTGAACATAGTATATTTATGGGCCCTTTCAGATCTAAGGTTATGAGGACGTAACCAAGGGCCAAGTGTGCCATCACCCCCTACACCCAATACAAATCCAGGTGCAGGAACCCCTTTTAGGTTTACATCCCCATTTGGTTCCATGACAACTCAATTGGCACCTGAGCCTGGAGAACCCCGACTTTCCTCCTCTCCCCACCCACCTCACTCACAGGCACGAGTGGGTGAGGATATAATACTTTATTCACTAACAAGGACCGAGGGAATGTAGTGACGGGGGTGGGGTGGTGAGCACGGTTTCCAAGGACCCCGGTAGGGGATTCTGTCTCCCAGTTCCAGGGCAGCCGGGCCTGCCGTCCCCTCAATTTCCCAGACCCGGAGGCCGGGGCGCAGGAGTCAGGGTTAGTGCAGCCAGGTCAAAGCCCCAGCGCGCCCCTCCGCAGCCCCGCGGGGCTCAGCTGCCCTCGCACTCCGGGCAGCGCTCGGTGGCAGTAGCGGCCGTGGCACCAGGAGGCAGCTTGAAGTCCCTGCCGCAGCCGGCGCAGATGTACAGGCGGCGCCGCATATGCGCGCGCCGGTGACGGATGAAGTGCGAGCTTAGGCGGAAGCGGCGGCCGCATTCGGCGCAGGGGTAGGGTCGCTCCCCTGTGTGCGTGCGCGCATGCTCCGCTAGGTTGGAGCGGTGGCCGAAGCGGCGGCCACACACAGCGCAGCGGTGCGGCTTTTCGCCTGTGTGCACGCGCCGGTGCTTGGCCAGCGCCGAGCTCTGGGCGAAGCGCGTACCGCAGTCGGCGCATGCGTAGGGCCGCTCGCCGGTGTGCGTGCGTCGGTGGCGCGCCAGGCACGAGCTGCCGCCGAAGGCGCGTCCGCAGTCCGGGCACGCGTACGGCTTCTCGCCCGTGTGCACGCGCAGGTGCTGTGCGTAGTTGGAGCTCTGCGCAAAGCGGCGGCCGCAGTGCGCGCATGCGTAAGGCTTCTCGCCCGTGTGGCGCCGTCGGTGCTGCCGCAGGTTCGAGGCGGCGGAGAAGCGCTTGTCACACTCAGGGCACTCGTAGGGCCGTTCGCCCGTGTGCGTGCGGCCGTGTTTGGTCAGCGCCGACTTCTGCGAGAAGCGCCGGCCGCACTCGGTGCACGCGAAGGGCCGTTCGCCCGTGTGCGTGCGCGCGTGCTTGGCCAGCGTGGAGCGGCGCGCGAAGGCGCGCCCGCAGTCGGGGCACGCGTGGGGGCGCGCCGGGTCGGCTGACGGCGCGGGCGCCTCACCCGGGACCTGCAGGGAGAGGGGGGACAGGTCAGCCCTTAGCGGCAGTCCCCAGAGCCAGAGACCTGGATGGGTCTCCGCAGGCTGCCCCCTCTGTGAGCCTCAGTTCCCCATCTCTGAAATAAGAAAGGCCTCGGTGCTGCGTCGCAGAATGGCTGTGCGCATCCAGTGAGATAATGCGCGTAACGCACACATCACAAAGCCCAGTGGCGTTCTAGCTATTTTTATTAATTCAACCAGTATTTACTGAGCGCGTGCAGGGTGCTAGACTGTTAGGCACGGGGATTCCTCATTCATTAAAAAGCATTAAAAAGAAAATTCCTGCTTTTGGGAATAATGGATAAAGAGCGCCGGTACGGGGGATGCTACAGATTTAAACAGGGTTAAGACACTTTACTGATATAACACCAGCAAAGACCTAAAGACAGAGCAGGCTAAGTGGATAGCCCTCAGAGGAACATTGCAGAGGGAACAGCAAGGCCCAGAGGTGGAGTTGCCTGCTGAGTTCCAGAAACGGCAAGGAAAATTGGTTAAAGCAGAATGTATGATGGGGCAAGTCACAGATGTGGTGGTGGAGGGGATCTCTTAGCTTATAGGGCCTTGTATTTGCTATATTTGGCTCTCTCTTTTCTTTTTTTTTTTTTTTTTTTTTTTTTTTTTTTTTGACGAGGTCTTGCTGTGGCCCAGGCTGGTCCCAAACTCCTAGCTCAAGCAGTGCACCTGACTCAGCCTTCTCAGTAGCTGGGGTTACAGGCACATACCACTGTGCCTGCTCTGGCTTTTAATATAAAGGAGATGTAACAGTAAGAGGAGATGTCAGAGGGCTTTGACCAGGGAAGTGACTGTATCCTACACATTTTAAAAGGCTCCCTCAGGGTGCTGGGTTTGAAAACCAAATGGATTTGGAGAAAGCAGAAGCCCAGTGAGGAGGCCACTGCAGCCACCTGGCAAGAGAAGATAGTGGCTCAGACCCAGACAACACAAGTGGACGGTGGAGGTGGTGAGAAGTGCCCCACTTCCGGATCTATTTGCAGTGACAATAGATTTAATAAGAGATTAGATGGTGAGGTATAAAGAAAAAGAGGAATCCAAATGACTTCAAGGTTTTTGAGCTTAGCAACTATAAAGGTGGAGTTGCATTTACAGAGATGAGGATGGTGGGGAAGAAGCTGAGACGGGAGATCTGTTTGGATGGTGTCGAGGCTTCTTGACATATCTGGAGCTCAGAAGCGAGGCCTAGACTGAAGATGTTAACTGAGAAGCTGTCAACCTATAGATAGTTTATAAAGCCTTGAGAATGAGTAGATGAGCTCAGCCAGGGGATGGGCAGAGAGCACCTAGAGCAGCAAGATGGAGAGAAGCCAGGGAGGGAGAAAAGCAGGAGAGGGGCATCCTGGAAGCCAGGGGAAGACCAAGTCCAGGCTCTTCAATCAGCTTTGAATAACAAACACCTATCATTTTTTAAGCTGTGAAGAAAAAGGCAAGGGTAAAAGCCAAATGCTATTCTGAAGTCTGAAATGAAAAACAAAAATCTGAAAATGAGCCAATTTCAAAAGTTCTGGCCTTCTAGAGATAAAAATCAGAAAAAGGAAAGAAATGCCTTGTAAGAGGCACATGAAGGGAAAACATTCTGGATTGAGTGAAGAAAAGTATTGAGGGCACACTGCTCCCTTCTTAGAAAAGAGAACGCTCAAAACTCCAGCAAAACCGATGTCAAGTATTCACCATGGCCAAGCAATTAATTCATGACCAAATGAAATACCTGGGACTATTTTATTTTTCATTTTTTTGAGACGGAGTTTTCGCTTTTGTTACCCAAGCTGGAGTGCAATGGCGCGATCTCAGCTCACCAAAACCTCCGCCTCCAGGGTTCAGGCAATTCTCCTGCCTCAGCCTCCTGAGTAGCTGGGATTACAGGCACACGCCACCATGCCCAGCTAATTTTTTGTATTTTTAGTAGAGATGGGGTTTCACCATGTTGACCAGGATGCTCTCAATCTCTTGACCTCGTAATCTAACCGCCTCAGCCTACCAAAGTGCTGGGATTACAGGCGTGAGCCACCGCGCAATACCTGGGACTATTGAGGACAAGAGAGTGTCAACTTCTCCCATATTCGATCTCCACAAGGTGATTATCATCATCCCCATTTTACAGATGGGGAGACAGGTTAAAAGAGGGTGACAGCAGGGAATAATAGAGCCTTCTCTTTCTGAAAGCTGCAGGACAAATTCAAGGCCTTCAGGATCATTTGTCAAAAGGTAAGTGGCTTTGTGGTAACCAGCTCAGAAACTGGAAAACAACCTAGGCATGGTGGCTCATGCCTCTAATGTCAGCACTTTGGGAGACTGAGGTAGGTGGATCACCTAAGGTTAGGAGTTGGAGAACAGCCTGGCCAACATGGAGAAACCCAGTCTCTACTAAAAATACAAAAATCGGGCCAGGCATGGTGGCTCACGCCTGTAATCCCAGCACTCTGGGAGGCCGAGGCAGGTGGATCATGAGGTCAGGAGTTAAGAGACCAGCCTGGCCAACGTGGTGAAACCTCGTCTCTACTAAAAATACAAAAATTAGCTGGGCATGGTAGAGGGGCGCCTGTAATCCCATCTACTTGGGAGGCTGAGGCTGGAAAATCCTTTGAACCTGGGAGGTGGAGGTTGCAGTGAGCCATTGCACTCCAGCCTGGGTGACAGTGTGAGACTACATCTCAAAAAAAGAAAAAGAAATACAAAAATCAGCCAGCTGTGTTGGCTCATGCCTGTAATCCCAGCTACTCAGGAGGCTGAGACAGAAGAATCACTTGAACCTGGGAGTCAGAGGTTGCAATTGAGCCAAGATCGCACCACTGCACTCCAGCCTGGGCAGCAAGAGTGAAACTGTCTCAAAAGAAAAAAGAAAAAAAAGTTGGATGTTGGGCGAAGTGGCTCACATCTGTAATGCCAGCACTTTGGAGACCAAGGTGGGTGAATCATGAGGTCAGGAGATC